TTGTTGAAATAATAAAAACTAAAGTGAATATAGGACATATGCAAATAAACTTAATGCGGACACATACAAATTTAACAAACAACGTTTTGCCATACTGCACACAGCGCAAAGCAACTGCTAATAATTTATGCAAGGAGTTGAAACGAAAGCTTTATATTCTTGATCCGCCTGTTAAGGAAGGCTTCTTTGGGCATGCAAAACCTTTTCATTCATAAATTCGCAGGAGAGCTTTGTATATGGGAAAATTGTTGATGTATTTTAATTTTACTTAAGCTGTACGTGACAAATGTAATGGGTTACTTTAGTCCCTTAATTGCCTTCTTACGAAAAAGTAAAACACCAGCCATAATTTCTTTTATTTGACAACATATTGAGCATTTGCAAACAGTGGATTAAAAATTGTAAGAGAAGAATGTGAAAGATGAAGATGAAAACTTTTGCATTTTCAAATAATTACGATCTAGAATTGTCTTTAGTACGACTGCCGATACGTTGAACTCGACCCCTGCTATATGATAATGATCTTAACATCATTTTCGGCAATAATTGCTATCATTGCCATTGGTTCAATTTAAAGTAGGCAGAAAGGAATTCGTCCGTTCTATAGTTGGAATCTTATACGTAATTGGAAAAGCCAAGATTCCGATTCGGGTTTGCAGTGTTTTCACTACTAACACAAGAGTATACACACTTTGAAGGTAATTTAGAGTGGATTCCTTTTACTAACCCCAACACCCAGGTATTCAGCTTTAATGCTGTATTGCCACTGCGATAATAAGCGTAGGTGAAACCATGTTGTAATATTAAATTTTATTATCCAGTTGGAAACTCTTCCAGAAGTACATTCTATGGGCTTTTATGGAAATTTGAAGAAAATCAGTTGAATGGTTTCTGAGTCTATATGTTGCATAGTCATGCACATAAATACGAACATACATACACATATATATATGTGCACATATGTTATATACAGATTTCTATGTGTAAATATATGCATGTATAGTCGGGATTTGAAATGCCGAATCACTCAATTACTGACTGAGTTATGCAGAGCACTTTTCTCCAGTGGCAGTTGGAATGAACAAAGTAAAATTTATGTAAGGATTCGATGCAATTTCAGCAACAAAAATTTTTCGGTGCGAGTACTCCTTCATTTAAATAGAGATTGAAACTGCCGGCTATAAATTCTGAGGATAAGTGAGAAAAAAAAAAAAACAAATGAGTTTGGTGAATACAAAAGTGTCGGAGTGTGAAAGGTAAATTTGGCAACGATGAGAGTCTCTTGCTCGAGCAAAATTTCTGCAACGTGCGAGCTCGTGCTATATATTGCCTCTGCACTCGATAGACTCAATATAGTGACTCTACAAATACATGTGAGTACCTACATGGTTTTTTGTTTAAATATGTACTTATGAATGTGAGGGATAGTAAATTTGGAAAAAAGAGCATGTGCACGCTCATACGCCATGCACTGAGATAAATATGTACAGTGCGCCAAACATAAACCGGATACTTCATTTGTTTGAGTTCAAATCTTTTTCACTTCAAAACAACTCAACCTATTTTCAAAAGATAAAATTCAGTAGTAAGATATTCAATCCAGTCTTTCATTCAAAAAAATAAAATTTTAATTAATTATAACTCAAGCAATATATTACTGCTTGGAAACACCGCTGTATGGAGCCTACCATGTTTTATGTTACTTCCTTGGGAATCTTATCCATATTTCCCAAATGTTTGTCTTGGGTCGATAAACTGAAAACTGTAATTTTGGACTGCTTTAGGAATTTGATCCTTCCTTATGTCCAAGTAACTCATTTCTTTCATTGTGCCTTCTATAAAACAGAACAAAACAATAAGATTCGCCATCAGTGCCCCTACACTACCGCCACAATGTTTTATTAGCATGACTTAGCGCAGTACCTTTCCTTCTTCAAAGAAAAGAACGAAAGTCAAAAAATGAATTTTGACTCATCTGTAAAAATAACATCATTCCCAAACTTTTGTGGTATATTTGTGTACTACTTGGTATAGTCGAACCTTTTCCTTATGTTGACGCATGAGAGCATGAGAGTAAAGTGTGCGGCTTAACTTTCACTATTCTGATTATTCGCAAAATTCTCTGTCTGTCCACAACAAATTCGAGTATATGTATTGTAGATACTCTTTACATACCACTTTTTTGAAAAAAAATTGATTTTCCTATGGTTTTAAATAATATTAATCACTCTTGACACACATTTCTAAAATATTAGAGAGAGAGGTGCAGAAAAAAATCAGAGATATTAGGAAATAAATAAAATAGTATGGTTGTAGATGGTAGATAGCGGTCGCTGTCAAATCCTGGTCAACCAATATCCAAAAGTTATAGAACAAATAATTTAAATAAAAAAAAAAATAAATTTTCTAATTGCGGTCGTCACTCAGCAGAGAATGTCAGTCCATCCAATTGTATTTTTAACATGAAATAAAGGCTCCTCATAAAAACCATCAGTCGTTCGAAGAATGAAAAATCACAAATTGGAGGAGAAGCTCAGCCGAAAATTACTTCAGCGGTTACAAAGCACCAATTATGAATATATGGTAGATAGACAATTACGACACCTTTTCAACGCAATTCATTTTTTATTCAATTCGATGCAGAATATTCATCTCTACAAGTTTTAGTATATAAAAATTGCGAGTTCCAGTTCATTTTTGGCTCACTGTATGTAACTACTTATGATTGTGTCACACCATTGTGCAATATGGTGGCGAAGCAATCAATGGGTTAATGCCGAAATAATTTATAGTCTCGTTACGCATTTGCATTGTGCCACGCTGCGTTGTAACAATAAATTGCAGCATCATATCCGCGCTTGCCGACGACGACGCTGAAATGAGCCAGCAGACACACACATACTCGTAGTAAGCCGCCTTTTCGGCTTTTTCGACGTGTGCAGTATGTGAGATTTTGGTAAAATATATCGCACACAAACAGATCCGCACGCCTTGAAAGACCGGCAATACGGTGATAGTTGCATGTGCAACATGTAACCAACGGCTGGTTGAATGAATGCGCTGTTACTATTTATGTTGCGCTCGAGTGTATCCGTTTTGAAAAGGATATCATTGAAAGCGAAATGGATTTTAAAAAATTGTCTGCTTATGTATCCGAGTTAGTGTGTGCGCGATATTGAAGAGGCACGTCGTTGGTTTATGTTGCTGCAGTATTTCCTGTTTCCACATACGACGTGCGTGCTTGTTTATATGGACCTTTTGTCCTCTGTGTGCTCGTCCGCTTCGCAGTATGCGTGGTAAAATTTAAAGATCCTGTTCATGTGTTTTCCTCATACGTATTCATATGTATATATGAAAATCGCCAGCGTTCATTTCATCCCTACCAAAAGTGGTTGTGCACGCACTCATCAAGTTGTCATTGTAGTAGTATTACTGTTTTTCTCATACTTATGGTTGGTTTTTCTAACGCTGTTGCTGTTATTGTTGTTGCTATGAATTCTATTACTTGCATTGCACCCGCATTTCTGTTTGTTTGCATCTGGATTTCTGGTCGATTAAGCAGCACCAGTCATAGACCGACCGCCTGCCAGCCCCGTGAGTGACTGAGTGACTTTTCCACCAGCCAACCTTCTTTCTTCTTCTCTCTCAGCCACGTGTTTGTCGAGTTATAATTACAATTCCAATATTCTTTTTACATTTTTTATGGCCCAACACTCGGTCGGCTATTGCTTTTACTATTTACTCACGCAGTTATTATTTATTTATAGATTTTTTCGAGCTGTCACTTTGGCATTAGTTTAGTTGGTTGGGAGGAAGTGTGAGTGGCGGCGGCGCACGGCCCATTAAGTTATGACAGTCGCGAGGGCCGAGTTAATTACGAGAATGACTTTCTTCATGGTTCTAGTTAAATTGAAGTGGCAGCAGCTATCATATCAAGCGGGTAAACATAGAAGTACTCGTATGTATGTATGTACAAATATATCTGTCAATGTTTGGCTGAGATGGTGGGAAATTTCGGTAGAAAGTTGCAAGATATTGTCTTTGTGTTGGTTTTTTCGAACAGTTTTTAATCAAGTTTATAATGTTTGTATGTGTTTGTGTATGTGTGATGTTACAACTTACTAGACATTTAACATTACATAACTTTAGCGTAGGGAGTTTACTCAGTGACAAGCTTCCACGCAGTCTGTCTTCCTTTGCCGTTTAGGAAGTAACTGTCTGCCGTTTGAATGTACTGTATTGAGCTGCGTGGTTAAAGTATTTATCCCTCCATGCGCCTTCTTCGTTTCACGTTTATCCACACTTTGCCCCAATCTGGTTTTTATGCAAATGTTGAATTATAACCGCGGAATTAGCTAAATGAGCTTTATTTTTAATGGCCTAACACATAAACGGGACATTACTTTCTAACCAAGCAGAGTGAGAACTAATACTGCGGACCACATCCAACTGTTATAAGATATGGAAATACTTAACGATGTGGGCCGTGAATGAAAGCCCACATTTCAAAAACACTCGTTGGTATGAAGGAGAAATATTCCTGATATGTATTTCGCCTATCACAAGATCAATCAGATGACAGCGAACTAGACTGATGGCTCATTGATATTACCATATTTTGCGACAGTTGTGCCAAAAAATACGGTGTTGATATCAGCCTTAATATTAATAAGATATTAAGCAGCCGGGCAGCCGCATCTTTTTAACTAAAGAGCTGGACACCTAGGGCATACGTCCTCAAATTGCAGTTTTTAGAATGTTTGTCGTGGCCACCATCGATGCCACGTCGGATTGGATTCACTGATACACCCTCTTTTTAAACTAGGACTCCGAGCTCCACCCGAATTGGTTACGACATTCTTCTCATATTTCAATGGTGGGCAACGTAAACACAATTGAGTATAGCCCTGTGCCTCAGGATTAATGGACGGTTCGCCAGTGGCAGTACATTTTATTAGAGAGAGCGGCTTTTCTTGCCGCCGTCACCTTTCGGTATAGACTTTTAATATCTTTGAGTTTTAATTCATTCCATAAGGCCATGACACATTGCAGACTCTGACACGTAGGAAGAGAGCCGAATCGATTTCTTAGTTTTTTAATAATCACAATTAAAATTATAATTTATTCCAATATAGGAAAAGGTTTTACATTAAATGTTTGACAATTACCATTTGAAAAATCAAACCAGTTTCAAAGTTTATTCCTCGAAACATTGATTTTTTTGTGCTATCCATGACAGTTACAGCCTTTACCTCCTTTACCATAGCCGCCGCCACCGCTACCACCAGGAGCAGGCTTAACTACAATAGGTTGTATAACCAAAGTCGGTTGAATAACTTTAGGTGGCTGAGCTGGCTGGACATAGACAGGTGATGGATGTACTGGACGTGGCGGCTGTGGAGGGGGATGTACTGGACGTGGCGGTGGAGCTGGATGCACCGGTCGAGGTGGTGGATGGGGTGGCGGAGCAGGATGAACAGTTTGAGTTGGTGGACGTGCTGGATACGTTTGTACCGGTACTATAATGATTTGTGGCTGCGGTGGTGGTGGTGGTGGCCTCGGTGGAGGGGCTGGCGCTGGATGGTAAACAACTGGCGGCGGTGCTGGTGCTGGATGATAAATCACCGGCGGTGGAGCTGGCGCTGGATGATATACTCTTGGTGGTGGTGCAGGTGCCGGATGATAGTACACTGGCTGCTGTGGTGCGGGTGGCAAAAATGGATTCTTTTTAAAAGTCCCATTTACTTTTCCGAATGTCAATAAAAATATTAAGATGTATTTCGTTACAGCGCAATGCGGAGACTTATCTTCCGTGCGTGGCATTTCGTCATTTACTTCGTGCCGACCTCAAACAACTGATTACTTAATAATGAGAAAGAAACGCAAAAATTTTTGATTTTATATACAATCGTCTACATTATTCTTAGCTAAATCAATAATTAGCTACTATCTCATTAATGGAATTAATCGTAGCTACAAAGAAAGCTATCTCCCTATATTAATTATTAGCGTTTCTATACACAACCTTTGGAAAAACATCAAGACGCAAAACCACAAATTGGAGGAGGAACTCGACCGAAAATCACTTCAGCGGTTGCAAAGTGCCAATTATATATATACGAGTACACAACTTTTAATGACTTTGAATTGATTTTCTAGAGTGGTCATATATGCCGTTATATTACTGTATTCCTTGTGAATCCCCAACATGAATATTCGATAGATACTTATTGATCAGTGTATATTATCGGCACTATGCTAATTATAATCTGTGTAACTGAACACAGCTTCTGTTTGATAGCATCTTCACATATTTACAAAGTATAAGTAAGACAAATGCCAGAGTAATTTTTTATTCATCTACAAGCGTCTTTCAGTGAGTCACTTGTAATTTCCCTTTACTTAAATTTTTTTGCTGCTAAGATTTATTTTACAGAATTATTCTAATATTTATTGTAATTTACATGCTTTGTTGAGTATTAATTGAGCCAGTATTAATGCAAGGCGCCTCAGCTATGTCAAATGAGCGTAACAAAATTTGACAAATATTACGTATTTAATGATGACATCCAAAATGTGCTGTCATAAAACGCGTGGAAATGGCGATTTGAAATGGAACGAAACGGAAGGAAATCAGTACATCATGGGTGATAATAAAGGGTGATGTGCATGATTATCAAGATTTGGAGTGGTAAATATGAATGTATATATACAGATACACATATACATATGTATGTAGCTACTTTACTTTCGGAATAGTTTCTGAGGGTTAATTCTCGAAATTTCCAAGAAAATATTTATGTATACTCAAGGATGTGGTCTGATAAACTCAAGTTCTCCTCCAAATCATACTGATTTTATGGAGATTCCATTCAAATATAGCGTTGCTGAACAAAAGATGGAGCCTCCGTTTCTTTGCAGAATATTTTCTTCGCAATCAATCAGAAAGGAGCTTCACAGCCTGCGTCTTGAGATAGTGTTGCTGCAATAAACTTTTAGCTTGAAAGTGAGGAGTTTTTCTGTCTCTAGTTTCATAAGAATGTTAAAAATAATACTTTATTTTATTGTGCATTATTTGTGTGCATTAGGTTGTGCGGTTTTCTGCGGAGAGAGCTCTACTACTATTATTTCGCGTCGTGTTCATCTGTGGCTATATTCATTTTAACCGAAGTACGTGCCAAAAGTGGTTTGCAGGGCTTAAAAGTGGTAATTTCGACTTAGACGACGGACAGCCAAAAAAATTTCAAGACGAATAGTTGGAGACATTGCTCGACGCAGATGTATGCCAGACACCAGAAGAGTTTATCACTATTAAAATCATTTTTACACAGTAAAGTCTAATTTTCGAAAAAAAACCGCACGAATTAATGCCTACACCCAGGTTAATTTGGATTTAAGTCGCCGTAACGCAAAAGTTTATGCAACGATGTTTCGCGTTGTGAACAGATCGTTTATATAAATTAAATATGAGACGGGCCCAGCGCGTATCATCGTATCATCGGTCTCGAAAACAGCGCCGATAATGACAAAACATCTCCTGGCATCCAACAAATAGTCAGCGCACTCCTGCCAAGGCTACCACGTCACAGTCCACAATGATAACTTCGAATTCGTAGATACTTTCATTTATCAAGACAACGGCGGTAAATTTTGCGAAAGGCGGCCAATATCACGCGGCGACATAGATATAAGACAGCGTATGATAACCCAGCTGCGACACGGTCTAGGTCATGTTATCCGGATGGAGGAAAGCATTCTAGCTTTGAAAGTATTCGCTGATTGAAGTAATAGAGACTTCCAAAGTCTTTGTAAGCAGAATAATAATGTATATGTGAATGTGTCGCTCAACTCGTTGTAATATTAGCACCACCCTATTCAACGATTCGAGATCATTACCATTTTGTATAGAGAAATTTTCATGTATGCCTGTTAATAAAGGGATTTTGATAAATATTGTCCTTCGAATTATTTTAATTTGATTAAATGAATCATTCTATAAAAAGTGTTAGCTGCAGAGTTTTTCTCGATGTGGTAAAGCTAAAAGTCCTACCAGATTTTTGTTTATAATCTCTTAAATTTCTTTAAATAAAATAGTAAACATATTTTTATTTTGTTTCGTACTTATTTCACTTTAGTTAAATTTTCGCCATTGAGAAACAACTAAATTACATGCTCAAGCAAATCGCTCTCTATAAGTTAGGGTCATGAAAATCTCAATAAATATGAAATTGTAGTACTTATGTGTTGAATCACAGCAGTTCGGTTTCCAGAAAATCAAAGTGCTCTTGTCAAATCTTGTGCATAATGTCCCACAAACATCACTGATTTTTAAAATTGAATATTAATACCGAAAATCATTTCCTAAAAATAAGTATGCTCCTAAAACTGGCCACATGTCTTTTACATTCAACAATAAGTAATAAAGTCAAAATAAACTACAAATATTCATCTAAAATACATATGTAATTATATAGAAAACTAAAAGTTTGTATAAAATCCAATATTCGAAGAAGCATTTTAATTATTCATATCAAAGTTTGTGATTATTTTATAAAGTTTTGCTATCACTTTGCATGCCATTAAGTGTTGGCAAAAAGCGTTAAGTGGCAAGTATCACCAAAACGATAGTTTATTATGTTTACACACTTCCACCCATGTCTAACCAAAATACATGTACATTGTCATCATTATTACTATCAGCCATTCGCTCTCTTCCCTTCAACACCTTGGTGCCTTAGTTTAAACACAATCATTGTTGCTTTATAAACATAATTAATTGGGAAATGGTTAAAAACCACTTAAAAGAGCTGGAGAAAGAGAGAAAGTGTGTGCTCATTTTCCACTTTCTTTGGAAAACTTTTCGCACAACTAATTTCCATAAACACTTTAGAGCAAACTGACCTAACCGGCACCCTCTTCAACGTTTTTTACCCGTAACAATGTGAGCCGTTTTCATATTAATTTTCCTTCAATACACTCATTCTACTCCTGACCCCCTTCCGCGTACCCACTTATTTAATGAAATACGTACTCGTCCAGTTGGCCAGAGTGTGATATGGGGTTAAGTGGTGGAAATTTACATGCCAAAGACGGCACGTAACAATGCAATTATTCACGCACATACACCGCACACACATACACAAACATGAATTCGTGTATATTTCATGGCATTTGAAAAGAGTTGTACGAGTACGTGTATGTTGGAGACGCCTAATCAAAGCACGCAATCCCTAAAAACACTTATACGCACTGTGTCTCGAAATTAAAAACGTTAAATCAAAACAAATTCTTACATTTCCATTGCTCTTCTGAGCACGCGGCGTGCGCAAAATGAAAGAAAAAGTGGAATCTTAATTAAAAAGTTAATTTGAATATTCGAAGGCGTTGAACGAACGTCGAAGGCGTCACCGGCAAGCATTGATGTCAGCTTGGTGTCCGTATCCCTGTATGCAGGATAGGCGAAACTTTGTGAAGAACCATAGTAAACAAAGTGATGCGAAAAGACAAGACAAACTAAAATTAAATAGAATGTTGTTGTTGGTGCTGTGAAAATTGAATAAAAAACTGTTTTCAATATACCCAACAAACAATAATGTTTGTTATTTGAGAAAAAATCGGTAGACGAGGGCTTACATTCTTATCAGGAAAATATGCACAGGTTTCTTTGATCGGTTTTAATGTATACATATGTATATATAATTCAATCGGGTACAAAGCGATACTAAACCGATTTTCGGCCGAGGTCCTCCTCCAATTTATGGTTTTTGTAAACGATTGCGATCGCAATTAGTTTTTACTGTATATGTGGTGTTGAATAAATAATAATATTTTTGCAAGTCTTGCCGCGAAAAATTCAAGCGCCTTTATATTGCATTATTGTATTAAACAGAAAATAATTATTTTTCTAATATTTCGTACTAAAAAGCTTTTCTGACAGTTTTGTGATAGAGTTCAACGATTGGTGTCCATCCTGATAACGAGAGCATTGCCATCAACTCCCTCGAAAGCATTGCTAATTCTTCTCAACCTCCTTCCTCTGGACCTATGCCGGAAACTACAAGCGGGCTGCAACGCAATAAGATTGAATGCAATTCAAACATGGAAGAATTGCAGTCTCTTACAGAAGTGTCGAAGGAGCTGGACTACACCACCTCAAGTGTATGCTTCGATAATCTTTTCTCCACAAATTTCCCAAACAGATGCGGGTAGAAAAAAACCAACTCCGACCAACGATAACCACCTTCACAGACTGTTCGAAGCTTGAAGGAAGAGTGAATTGCGGAATTTATTCTTCCGTGCTCTCACGAGCCTGAGCATGAGAATACCGGATAATTGCAGCGTTTTCTAGACGGAAGTTTTCGCAATCATGGGGCCTGCGGAGTGGTTGCACAAATCTATGGCAGCAGGACAATCGGTTACAATTTACTCCGATAGTCAGGCTGCAGTCAGATCTCTTCAATGTAGAAACACTATCAACGAAGTACAGTACAGCCGTGGTCTGGGTACCTGGACACCTTCTATCTACTATAAAACACGCATATGATGCTGGTTTACGGTCCACGGTTAAGTACATGCTTAAACTGGCCTTCACCAGGGAAGCTGACTCACGATAGTTGAACGAGATCACGCTATGGCCGAAATTGGAACATTTTATCCTTCTGGACCGCTTCTCTGGATATCTGATGCGGCTGTAGGGACCAAGAAGAGAAGGAGACCTTCGAGCACTAACACTGCCACTGTCCAGCCTTGACATCCGCGCAACACAAGTTACTTAGGAAACACTTCCTCCACTGTCTCGCTGAGTTGGCCTTAGCGAACATTGGAAATGTCGTTGCCTTTATAAGACACACGAAATGGTTTTTTTTGTCATTGGTTGATTCATT